ACAATCCAAGAAATCCAGAAAATTTCAAGAATCCAAAAATTTCAAAAATCAAAGAAATTCAAGAAACTCAAAAATGTTAAGATTTGGAAGAATCCCAACAACTTCAATTAAAAAAATTCTAAAAATTCAAAGAAATCCAAGAAATCCAGAAAAACTACGAATTCCAAAAATTCCAAGAAATTCGGGAAAGCTAAAAAATCAAAGCAACAATCCTAGAACTCAAGAGACCGAACAAGGCAAATAAACCCAAAAAACCAAAAAAATTCTAGAAATAGAAGCGTTAAAAAAATATTAGAATTCCAAGGGGAGTAGGAAATTCAACAAAACCAAGAAATTTAAAAATTCCACGAAATCAAGAATACTAAGAGTCTCAACAACTCCAGCATCCTAAAAATCCTAGAAATTTCAGGAATCCTAAGAATTAAAAAAGATCTAAGAATTCCAAGAAATCCAAGAAATCTAAAAATTCCAAAAATTCCAAGAATCCTAAGACTTCAAAGAAAAAAACTAAGAAGTTCGAGATATTTAAGAAATCCAAGAAATAGAAAAAATCGAAGAAATCCAAGAAACCCAAGAATTCAAAAAATTCCAAGAAATTCTAGAAATCCAAGAAATCCAAGAAATCCAAGAAGTCCAAGAAATCCAAGTAATTCAAGAAATACAAGATATCTAGGAAATTAAAAAATCGCATCATTCGAGAAATTTAAGAATTCCAAAACCCAAGAAATTTAAGAAACCCAGAAATTAATTCCAAGAAATCTAATAAACTATCTATAACCTATAATATATAATATAAATAACCCAACAATTCTACAAATCCCAAAAATCCTAAGATTCAAAGACATCCAAAAAATGCAAAAAATCTAAGAAATCCAAGAAATTTAAGAATTTCAAAAAAATCCAAGAAATCCAGAAAATCCAAGAAAATTAAGATATTTAACAATTACAAAAATGTTGAGAATTCCAAAAATTCCAAGACACGCAAAAATTCTAGGAACCATAAAAATTCCAAGATTCCCAAGAGGCAAGAAAATCCAAGAAATTTAGAATTTCCAGCAATTCCAAGAAATTAAAAAATCAAGCATCTAAGAAATTTAAGAATTCCAAACAAACAAGCAAGAGATTAAAAAAAATCCAAGAAATCTAAAAATCCCAAGAATTCCAAGAAAAGCCTGAAATTCAAGAATGTCAAGAATTCCACGAATTCCCAGAATTCTAAGAATCCCAAAAATTCCAAGGATCTCAGGATTTAAAAAAATCCGACAGATTCAAAAAATCGAAGAAATCCAGAAAATCCAAGAATTCCAAGTAATCTAACAATTCAAAGAAATCCAAGAAATTGAAAAATCGCAACACCCAAAAAAATTAAGAATTCCAAACCACCAAAATATCCAAGAAATCCTAAAATTTGATATATCTGAGAATCCCAAAAATTAATTCTAAGAACTCCAAGAAACCCAAGAATGTCGAAAACTCTAGTAATCCCAGGCAACGCAACAATTCCAAGAATCGCAAAAATCCTAAGATTTAAAGAAATCCAAAAAAATGTAAAAAATCTAAGAAACATAAGAAATTTAAAATTCCGAAAAATCCAAAAAATCCTAGAAATCCAAGGCATTCAAGAATGTCCAGAAATGCAAGAATTCTGAGAAACCCAAAAAATTTAATAATTCCAAAAAATCGAAGAAATCCAACAAAAGCATAAATATCGAAAATTCCAAGAATTCCAAGAAACTCTACAATTCCAAGAATCCTAAGATGCAAATCCAAGAAATTTGATAAATCCAAGAATTCCAGAAAATCCAAGAATTCCAAGAAATTCAAGAAATTTAATAATTACAAAAATTCCAAGAATTCTAAAAAATCCAAGAAATCTAACAAAACCCTACAATTCTAAGAACCATAAAAATTCCAAGATTCCCAAGATTAAAGGAAATCCAAGAAATTCAAAAAGCCTGGAAATCCGGAAATTCCAACAATTCCAAGAAATTAAAAAATCAAATATCTAATAAGTTTAAAAATTCCAAACAACCATGATATCAAAGAAATTTAAAAAATCCAAGGAATTTAAGAATCCCAAGAATTCCAAGAAATTCAAGGATGGCAAAAATTCGAGAAGAGTCGCAAGAATTCTAAGAATCCCAAAAATTCCAAGGATTCAAAAAAATTCTAAAAATTCAAGAAGTCGAAGAAATCCAGAAAATCCAAGAAATCCAAAAATTGCAGCACTCGAGAAATTTAAAAATTCCAAAAATTAATTCTAAGAAGCTCAATAATGTTTAAAATTCCAATAATCCCAGGAGACCTAAAAGTTCCAAGAATCCCAAAAATCCTTAAATTCAAGGAATTGAAAAAATTTTAAAAATCCAAGAAACCCAAGTAATTTAAGAATTCCAAGAAATCCAAGAAATCGTAAAACTCCAAGACATACCAGATTTTCAAGAAATCCAAGAATTCCAAGAAATCCAAAAAATGTCGAGAATTCTACGAATTCCAAGAAATTCGATGATCAAGAAATCCAGAAAATCCAAAAAATTCAGGAACGTCTAGAATTCCAAGAATTCCAAGAAACTCAACAATTCCAAGAATCCTAGGATGCAAATCCAAGAAATTTGATAAATCCAAGAAATCCAGAAAATCCAAGTATCCGAGAAATCCAAGAAATTTAAGAATTCCAAAAATCCAAGAAATCTAGGAAAATCAAGGAATCCAAGAATGTCGAGAGTTAAAAGAATCCCAAAAAACCCAACATTTCTAAGAACCATAAACATTCCAAGATTCCCAAGATTCAAAGAAATCCGAGAATTTCAAAAAAACTAAGAAATCCGGAAAATCCAACAATTCCCAGAAATTAAAAATCAAACATCTAAGAAGTTTAAAAATTTCAAACAACCAAGATGTCCAAGAAAAAATCCAAGAAATCTAGAAATCCCAAGAATTCCAAGAAATTCAAGAATGGCAAAAATTCGAAGAGTCCCCCAAGAATTCTAAGAATTCCAAAAATTCCAAGGATCCGATGATTAAAAAAAATCCGATAAATTCAAAAACTCGAAGAATCCAGAAAATTCAAGAATTCCAAGTATTAAGTAATCTAAGAATTCCAAGAAATCCAAGAAATTCAAAAATCGCGGCACTAAAGAAATTTAAGATTTCCAAACAACCAAGATATCTAGGAAATCCTAAAATCCAAGAAATCTAAGAATCCCAAAAATTTATTCTAAGAAATCCAAGAAACTCAAGAATATCTAGAATTCCAATAATCCCAAAAATTCTAAGATTCAAAGAAATCCAAAAAATGCAAAAAATCTAAGAAACAAGGGTTTCAAATTCCAAAAAGTTCAAAAATTCTAGAATTTCAAGAGTCCCAAGAAATCCAAGAAACCCAACAAAACCAAAAATGTCGAAAATTCCAAGAATTCCAAGAAACTCAACAATTCCAACAATCCTAAGACGCAAAACCAAGAAATTCGGAAAATCCAAGAAATCAAGAAAATCCAAGAATTCCAAGAGATCCAAAAAACTCAAGAAATTTAAGAATTACAAAAAATCCAAGAATTACAAAAAATCCAAGAAATCCAAGAAAATCAAGTAATGCAAGAATGTTGAGAGTTCCAAGAAACCCAACAATTCTAAGAACCATAAAAATCCCAAGATTTCATGATTCAAATAATTCCGAGAAATTCAGAAAACCAAGAAATCCAGAAATTCTAACAATTCCAAAAAGTTAATCTAAGAAATTCAAGAATTCTAAACAATCAAAACATCCAAGAGATTAAAAAAATCCAAGAAACTATGAAGCCCAAGAATTCCAAGAATCCCAAGAATTCTAAAATCCCAAAAATTCCAAGGATCCCAATATTCAAAAAAATCCAACAAATTCACAAAATCGGAGAAATCCAGAAAATCCAAGAATTCCAAGTAATCTAAGAATTCGAAGAAATACAAAAAGTTCAGAAAACTCAAGAAATTTAAAAGTTCCAATTTAAGAATTCCAGAAAATCCAAGAATTCTAAGAAACCCAAAAAAATGTCGAGAATTCTAAGGATTCCATGAAACCAACAATTTCAAGAATCCCAAGGTGCAAATAAATCCAAGAAATTCGATAAATCCCAGAAATCCAGGAAATCCAAGAAATTCAATAATTCCAAGAATTTCAACATTCAGAGGAATCCAAGAAATCTAGAAATTCCAAAAATTCCAAGAAAATCATGAAAACTAAAAAATCCAACAAAAACTGAAAAAACTCAAAAATTCATGAAATTCAAAAAACTTCAGAATCTCAAGAATTCTGCGAAACTTAAAAAAAATCTAGAAATAGAAGAAATACTAAAGATGTGAGGCTTCAAAAGAGAGTAACAAAGTCAGCAAATCCAAGAAATCAGTGGTTGCAAAATATACTTCAAGAAATTTGAGACTTCCTAGAATTTAAAAAATTCCAGAAATTATTTTACTTGAGCACAATGTGTTCAAAATGTTTAAGAAAATGTAAAGATTTCAAAAACTTACATAAGTATTTTGAAAAAAAAAATTGTCAAAATTTTGATGAACTTATTCAAGAATTTTCCATTAGACTGAAAATTTTCCTTCAGAATCCTATTAAACTGTTTCGTTAAGCTCTTAATTTTTTATATTAACTAACAATCTTTCACATTTGAACAAAAATCTCAAAATTTTCTTCAGATTTTTTTCCAAGTGGAAAATTGTCATTATTATATTTCAAAAGAATTTTTACTTCACGTTTTAGGTAAGAGCGAAAATTTGAACAAGTAACTAAGAATTTTATCACGGTTCATGGTTTCACGTTTGCTGCTCATTTATATAACACAGTTACGTTACGTTTATGTAGCAGCAACGTAACAGTTTTATAACGCCAGATGAACAAAATTAGGTAATAATTACGTGGGAGTTATATCTGCGTTATCTTATACCTATAATATTAAGTTTATCGATTCACGTCCAGTGAAGTGACAGATAGACAACAGCAAAGCTGCATTTTCGTCTTCCGCAATCTGCAAACCGCCCCAATTACCGAACGAACCCCGAATTTGCTCATCTCGTTTCAATAATACGACACCCTACCTTACAAAACAGCGCATTTCTCATGATGAAGACCTCGTTCCTCTTGTAATAACAATGAGTTCTCACCAACGCAGCTCGATCGTCTTCCTCCAGCAATATTCCTGCTTAATTTCGCTCAGTTGATTCGGTAGCAACTCGTAGTGCGCGTTCACCGTAGTCTATTTAGATAAAACCCGTCGTCTGTTTGTTTACCCGCGATAATGAAATCGGTTTAGTGAAAACAGAAAACCGTTTTTATGAAATATGTTGACGTGTCGAAGTTCCTCCGCCCCACAACCACACATTCGCCCCGGCTTACAATTTGTTGTTGCTAAATTAATTAAGAAGCTCGCTAATTTCATCTAAACGTTCCATTAAAAGCTAATTTTACACTGCTCTGTCTCTAATAACAGAAATGGAATTGTTATGAAAATGTTCGGCAGCCCGCTGTTTGGGGAACGAGGTCGTAATTTTGTTATCGCGGAGCCCCGGAGGGGCTAAATATTTATAAAAGGAAATCTGACGCGAGAATTAAAATAACCACCATCTATTTGTTATCTTCGTTATCTTTGTCGTTTATTTCATTGATTAAACAGTCAGTCATTCATTTACGCGAAATGTACTAAATTCGGCTTAAGGTAGAAGAAAGATGGTGACGAGCGAGTAAAATGTGGAACAAGAAGGGCCTGTACAGGATCCAGGAGAGCAAAAAGGTACAACTTCATTATTTAGTTAACTGATTGCTTCCATCGAATTAGATCTAATCAAGATTAACTGTTGCAAATTCGGTTTTTTTGCGAGCAATTCTCATTAAAACCTGGGAATCTTACGACGGTTTTATTACGTGCAGGCTATTTGGTTATATAATGGCAGGTTATTGTTTCTTTGTGATGGGATGGCAACAGAAAATGAGTATCTTCTGGTGGAATCTTGCTAACTGCATTATTTAATTTAGTGCCGCGATTTACAAGATTTTTGCATAATTTTAAACCGAAAAGTGTAACAAACATTATGCTAAAACTGTAGTCTGCTGCTTTATTTAACGAGTAAACAAAAGAGAAAAGGAAAACAAACGTATCAGCGGATTTTTTAGACAGTTGCTGTTGATGTTTATGCTTGCGTAATTAAGAAAATCTTTTAGTCTTGGTCGAGCATCGTATTTAAATTTAGTTTTTTGGGGCCAAATTGTACGTGCCCTAATTTTTTCCAATGATAAAATTACCTACCTCCAAATAAATGCAAAAAACGACAAAATAATTTTAAAAAATTCTCCAAAAAAATTTTCAAACGGGCTATTCGAATAGAAAAATGTAGCCATTTGTACAATACCAACAGATTTCTTTTGGAATTTGTTTTGAAGATTTTGATTGTTCAAATAAAATGTCAACATCTTAAGGAAGACAACTGTCAAGTTTTAAGAAAAAAAAGCAAGAATTTGAGGTAAAAATTTCAAAATTTTTGGATTTTTCTCGTCAAAATTTGTAGGTTTTTTCGCGATTTTATTTCCTAAAGATCACGTGAGTACATTTTTTTGTTCGACTGGAGGCAATTTTAACAGTTTTTTGGAAAATTTTTGGAAATTATTTTCCAGTTTTGTACGGTTATTTGAAAAGTTCTTGTAAAGTAATAATGTGCCCAAAACGTTTCTTTCTATTCGCATGTTTTTTTTAATGAAAATTTTGGAAAATATTTTGCCTTTTTTCGTTGAAAATATTGTAAGAAAATTGCTTCCGATTCTTAATTTACAGAAAATTCACTACAACCTAGCAGTTTTTCCTATTCTTTGAAATTTTTTTTGGATACTTTTTAAAACTTATATTTCCCTTTGTCCGTAATTGTTTGAAAAATTGCGATAAAACGTTTTTAGAATGATAACCTACTGAAAATTTCCTATGTGAGAACTTTTTCCTCTTCGAATAGAGGCAGTATTAAATTTTTTTGGACATTTTTTTGAAATTACTTTCCCATTTTTTCAAAAGTTGTTGCAAGATGGCCTCAGGCTGGTAATCTGTGGAAAATTCCCCACAAACGAGTTCTTTCTTCTGTTCGAAGAAAGTCCATTTTGTGATTTTTTGAAAAATTTTTGAAAATAATTTTCCCGTTGTCCACAGTTTTTAAAAAATTGCTACGAAAATGACTTTAGATTGATAATCTAGTGAAAATTCCCTATGAGTGCGTACTTCGATTAGATTGATTTTGGCAAATAACATACCCCTTAAGAAAATGGGGGGTGGGTGGGCGGGGCTAGTACTTGCTAAGATAAGACTGATTTTGGCGGATGACATATCCTCTAAGAAAATAGAGAGCGGGAGGGAAAAGTCGAAAAAAATTTTTAGGAAAAAATTCGCCCAAAAAAAAACAAGATATTGATGTTTTAATTTTTTCAACTTTATGGAGTTTCATAACAATGTCAGGGTTTTCCTTAACACAAAATTAAACTTTTGCAGAATTTTCTTGCGTTCTTGAAGATTTTGATTCTTCAAATAAAATGCAAGATCTCAAAAAGGAAAACTAACGAAGTGTTAAGAAAGAAAACGAGGACTTGAATTAATAAATGGCGATGTATTGATACGACGATTTCCAAATTTTGGAATTTTTCTGCTAAAAGTTTTTAGACCTTTTTCAATATTCTATTGAGAGAAACAGTGCAAATTCCCCACAAATGAGTACTTTTTTTAATAGAATAAAGTCTGCTTAATGATTTTTTGAAAAATTTTTGGAAATTATTTAACCGTTAGAAATAGAAGGAATACAAATGCTTTTAGAGTTCCAAGGGGTGTAAGAAATTTAAGAATTCCAAGAAATCAAGAATATCAAGAATCCCAACAATCTCAACAGTTCCAAAAATCGAAAAATTCCAAGAATCCTAAAGATTTCAAAGAAGTCCAAGAAATCCTAAAAATTCCAAAAATCCAAAAAATCAAGAATTCCGAAAAATCCAAGCATTCTAAAAAACCAAGAAATTTAAAAAATCCAACAATGTAAGAAAAATAAAAATTCCAAGATTTAAAGAAATCCGACAAATTCAAAAAACTAAGAAATCCAGAAATTCCAAGAATTCAAAAAATCAAACATCTAAGAAATTGAATAATTCCAAACAACCAAAATATCCAAGAGATTAAAAAATCCAACAAATATAAGAATCCTAAGGATTCCAAAATATTCAAGAAATTCACGAATGTCAAGAATTCCAAGAATTCTAAGAATCTCAAAAATTCCAATGATTCCAACATTCAGAAAAATCCGACAAATCCAAAAAACCCAGGAAATCCAGAAAATCTAAAAATTTCAAGTAATCCAAGAATTCCAAGATACCCAAGAAATTCAACAATCGGAACAAAGACTCAAGAAATTTAAGAATTCCAAACAAGCAAGATGTCCAAGAAATTCTAAAGTCCAAGAAATCTAAGTAATCCAAAAAACTCAAGAATTTCTAGAATTCCAATAATCCCAGGAAAGCCAACAATTCCAAGAATCCCAAAAATCCTAAGATTCAAAGAAATCCAAAAAATACAAAAAATCTACGAAACCCAAGAAATTTAAGAACTCCACAATATCCAAGAAATCCTAGACATTCAAAAAAGTGCAAGAATTCCAAAACACCCAACAATTCCAAGAATCCCAAGATGCAAATCCCAGAAATTCGATAAATCCAAGAAATCCAGACAAGCCAAGAGAAATAAGAAACTCAAGAAATTTAAGAATTACAAAAATCCAAAAAATCCAAGAATTACAAAAAATCCAAGAAATTCAAGAAGTCCAAGAAATCCAAGAAAATGAAATAATTCAAGAATGTGGAGAGTTGGAAGAATCCCAGAAAAACCAACAATTCTAAGAACCATAAAAATTCCAAGATTCAAGGAAATTCAAGAAATTCAAAAAACCAGGAAATCCAGAAATTCCAACAATTCGAAGAAATTAATAAGTCAAACATCTAAGAACTTTATGAATTCCAAACAAGCAAAATATCCAAGAAATTAAAAAAATTAAGGAATCTAAAAACCCCAATAATTCCAAGAAAGGCAAGAAATTCAAGGATGTTAAGAATTCCAAGAATCTCCAGAATCCCAAAAATTCCAAGGAATCCAACATTTAAAAAATCCCACAAATTCAAAAATTCGAAGAAATCCAGAAAATCCAATAATTCCAAGTAATCTAAGAATTCCAAGAAATTCAAGAGATTCAAAAATCGCAGCACCCAAGAAATTTAAGAAATCTTGGTTTCCTAGAAATCTAAGAAACTTAAGAAATAAAATTAATTAATTAATTCCAAAAATCCAACAATTCCAAGAATTCCAAAATCCTAAGATTCAAAGAAATACTAAAAATGCAAAAAATCTAAGAAACCCAAGAAATTTAGGAGTTCCAAAAAATCCAAGAAATTCTAGAAATTTAAGAATTATAAAAATCCAAAAAATCCAATAAAATCAAGTAATCCAAAAATGTTGAGAGTTCCAAGAATCCCAGAAAACGCAACAATTCTAAGTACCATGAAAATTCCAAGATTCCCAAAATTCAAGGAAATCCAAGAAATTCAAAAAACCAAAAAATACAGAAATTCCAACAATTCCAATAAATTAAAAAATCAAACAAATATCCAAGAACTTTAAGAATTCCAAACAACCAAGATATACAATAGATTAAAAAAATCCAATGAATCTAAGAATCGCAAGAATTCTAAGAAATCCAAGAAATTCAAGAATTTCAAGAATTCCAGATAATCTAAGAATTCCAAGAAATTCAAAAATCGCAGCACTCAAGAAATCTAAGAATCGCAAAAATTAATTCTAAAAAATCCAAGAAACCCAAGAAATTTAATAATTCCAAAAATCCAAGAATTCAACTAAATCAAAAATGTCGAGAACTCCAAGAAACCCAAGATACAAATCCAAGAAATTGGATAAATCCAAGAAATCTAAAAAATCCAAGAATTCCAAGAAATCTAAGGATCCCAAAAATTCCAAGGATCCCAAGGTTAAAAAAATCCGACAATTTCAAAAAATACAAGAAATCCAGAAAAGCCAAGAATTTCAACTAATCTAAGAATTCCAAGAACCTGAAGAAATTCAAAAATCGCAAAACTCAAGAAATTTAAGAACGCCAAACCACCAATATATCCAAGAAATCCTAAAATCCAAGAAATCTAAGAATCCCAAAAATTAGTTCCAAGAAATCCAAGTCCCAGAGGTCTTCCTTAACACAAAATTAACTTTATTAAAGTTTAGATGAAAATGGAACTTTTACAGAATTTTCTTGCTTTTTTGATGATTTTGATTCTTTAAATAAAATGTCAAGATCTCGAGAAGGAAAACTGACGAAGTGTCAAGAAATAAAGCGAGGATTTGAGTTAATAAATGGCGATATATTGAGACGACGATTTATAAATTTTGGAATTTTTCTGCTCAAAGTTTTTAGACTTTTTTCAAGATTTTATTTCCTAAATATATTAGTAACTGTTCTCTATTGAGAGAAACAGTGAAAATTCCCCACAAATGAGTACTTTTTTTAATCGAATCAAGTCTGTTTAATGATTTTTTAGACAATTGCTGTTGATGTTTGTGCTTGCGTAATTAAGAAAATGTTTTACTCTTGGTCGAGCATCGTATTTAAATTTAGTTTTTTGGGGCAAAATTGGACGTGCCCTAATTTTTTTCAATGATAAAATTACCTACCTTCAAATAATTGCAAAAAACGCCAAAATAAATTTAAAAAA